AGCCTAACGGTTGCCGGGCGACGGGGGGGGGGGGGGCCGGGGGGGGGGGGGGGGGAGGAGCCATGGGACGACAGGTGCTGAGGCCGGGCCGGAGGCTCCGCCCAGAAGGGGCGTCGGCTGCCGTAGCTGGCGTCCGATTGGCTGGAGGAGGAGCTGGACAGGCTGCGGTCGTCCCCGGCAACGGACGTGGTCCAGCTGTAGGTGGAGGCTGCGGAGGGAGAGACATCTGGATCAAAACGGTTCATTCATCAGGGGAACCAATGAATGCAGCCTGTAGGAGCCTCGGTTGGATGTCCGACTCCTCACATATCCAAGTCGGCCATTTTGATTAGGTCATGTGAACAGCAGCTTTCTGAGGTGGAAACGAAACTTTACTGTCTATATGAAATGAAGAAAAACAATGTCCTTTCCCTAACCCTGAACTTAACCCTAACCCTGACCTTAAACCTAACCCTAATCCTGAACCTAAACCTAACCCTAACCCTAACCAAGACCCTAACCAAGACCCTAACCCTGACCCTGACCCTAACCCTAACCATGACCCTAACCCTAAACCTAACCCTAACCCTAACCTAGACCCTAACCAAGACCCTAACCCTAAACCTAATCCTGACCCTCCATCCTTCATAATAGAAATAAATATTTTTGGGGTTAAACTTGTTTTGACTTATTTTACAAACCTATTTAACATCCACTATTTTAACATAATATTATGGATAGAGTTTAATTCAGTGTTTCCAAGATCCATTTCGCTATTTTTAAATTAATGTCTATATTGCCATGAAGCAATTAGGATTTTCTTGACTGGGATCTTCCTATTGGTGACCTAATCAAAATGGCCGATAACACATCAATCTTTGTTACTGGAAAACACAGAGAAGGTTTTGTGAAGGTTTTGTTGTTTTTTTGGGTTTGGGTTTCGTACCGGAGCTGGCCAGGCTGCAGCGGGACAGTGAGCTCAGCCTCTTCTCCAGGTCTGAGGTCTCCAGACTAATGCGCCGCTCCACCTGGGCGGCGTCCGCCTCCGGGTCCGCTGGGGGGGGGGGGTTAGGGTTAGGGTTAGGGCACAACACAGACAGGAAACTCATCGGCTGCCAAAGACGTCTATAGACGTCAATTCAAATACAACCGTTGACTGCCAAAGACGTCTATAGACATCTTTTATGTTTTTCAACAAGAGTGGCTGGGGGACGATCTGCTAAAGCTTGTCCGTAAATATCAGGCTTCTAGACAGAGTATGTAGTAACAAACCCATTCTTTCCAAAGTGCTTCAGGAATGACACAGATACTGGATCTCCTGCCATAACAATATATATAGACATGTATATATGTATGTGCTGTTGTTTTATTCTGGAGTTGGTAACAAAAATTATTTCCCTCTGGGATTATTAGAGTATTTCTGATCCTGATTCTGGTTTTGAAGAGGATTAGAAGGAGAATGAAGCTCTACTGGACAGAACCCCGCCCTCCGGACGTTTAAAGGGGACTGAAAACATCTTTCTCCAGCCTTCGAATAAAACATCTTTATTGGTCAAGATCGATCATCTCTAATCATTTAGAAACTTTGCCTCACACATTTAACTCATTGGCTGCCAAAGACGTCTATAGACGTCTTTTATGTTTTTCAACGAGAGTGTCTGGGGGACGATCTGCTAAAGCTTGTCCGTAAATATGGGCTTCTAGACAGAGTATGTAGTAACAAATTGACCCTCTAGGGGGCAGTGCCACTTTTGATGGGAGATGAGCATAGACTGTAGGCAAATAAGAAAAAGGTAACGGTTCTATGAGAGAACATGTCGCCGGTGAGACGCAAGTCGAGGAAGAACGGAATAAGGTAGAAACAAAACATTTTCTCCTGATGAAAGAAGAGAGTCTACTCTTTCTTTTGGTGTGTTCGGTGTTTACATAGTCATAGCACAAACTATTCTGTGGCTCTTGAAAAATCGGTCAAAATGCTCAAAAAACTCT